TAACCATTCATTTGAGGCTCTAATGAAATGTATGAGGTTATTCACAAAATTTCTACTGCTTATCACCTCCAAACAAGTGGACAGGTAAGGTTGGCGAATAGGAAGATTAAACAAATTTTGGAGAAAACGGTGAACCCTAATCGGAAGGATTGATCCTTAAGATTAAATGATGCACTTTGGGCTTACCGTATAGCTTTTAAGACATCCCTAGGCATGTCCCCATATAGACTGATATTTGGAAAGCCGTGTCACTTACTTGTCGAACATGAGCACCGAGCCTTTTGGGCTATTAAGCATTTCAACTTTGATCTGGAAGAGGGAGGTAAACATAGGAAATTTCAATTGAGTGAATTGGAAGAGTTGAGAAATTATGCTTATGAAAGTTCTAGAATCTACAAGTCGAAAATGAAAGCTTTCCAAGATAAAAATATTTTGAGAAAAACTTTTGAACCAAACCAGAGAGTGTGCTTGTATGATTCTAGGCTCCACACGTACCCGGGAAAACTCCGTTCTAGGTGGACTGACCCCTTCATGGTGACACGAGTTTTTGAAAATGAGGCTATTGAAATAAAGGATCCTAATGATGATACAGTATTCAAAGTGAATGGACAGAGACTCAAAATAGTCTATGGGCAACAGGTGCTTACAGTGGAAGAAATTCCCCTTGCAAATCTAGTATACCACCCATGACAGCCTTCAAATATGTCTTTCACCTCGCTCTGTATATTAGTTCTTAGATTACCCCTTTCTCTTTTTTTAGGTGTGTTTTGCATTTTCTTTTAGTTTATTTTCATTTTCTACATCACCCATTTCCATTGAGCGCTTTCAGGTTTCTTATACCTCAAGTTTCTATTGATTCACTGCCATGCTCAGGTGACATCTTTCCCTTCTTCTCTTTGGTATTCATGTTTATGCATTGGGGACAATGCGATGTTTAGTTGGGGGATGATGAATTTTGTTGTGAATTGCATATTTGAATTTTGATGTGAATTGCATCTGATTTGCATAATTATCATGGAATTCTGTTGTGATTTCCTTACAATTAAAAAAAATTTGAATCTCTGATTTGCCACGTCTATGCTCTTGAATTACAACACACACCACTAGGAATTAAT